TACTGACTTTAAAATCTCAAGGAAAATCAAGAAAAAAGTCAAAGAGGTACACCATTTTTTCCTTGCTCTTTTTTTGAAAGTTCCCGATTGTGTGAAGTAGAAATGTCTAGAGGTTATTCCCCAAAATTTCTCTTTATGCGAGGAACTTATGCCCATCATGATTGCGGAAACTAGGTGAGGCAGTAATACAGGGGCTGTCCAGCAGTCCAGGGCTGTCCAGGCTTTCAATTTTGACGAAAACAAGTGGAAGAAAACAAAAAGGGGAACATGAGACACGTGCGGACACTTTTGTCTCATTTTCTGAGCAAAATCTTATTACTAAAACGCATGTCTGGCTCCCTAAAACGAATGTCCAAGATGAAATGGAAAGAAACTAAGACCAATTCTGACAAATGTGGCTTCGCTAATCCCTTCAGCAGAACAAATTACAACACAGGACGAGGAAAAGAGGAAAGAAGTAATTAGTAGGAAGGGAACAATGGAGGCCATGCGAGAAATGCAACGATGGGAGCAAAAGACAAGAATGGCAATGCAATCAATGATAATTTACGTCAGGAGGAGATGAGGAAGTAGATGAGAGGTTAGGGGACGAATGCGAGGATGGATATCCAGTTGATCTTGAGATGAGAACGACGAGAAACGGATTTGAAACGACACGAGCTCAAGACAAGAGACCAAAGATTGTAGTAGTCAGTCAACCACGGAACTGAAATTTGAACGCGATTAGGAGAGGCTGAGTAAGGGCGAACCAAATCAAGAGAGGGAATGCGACAAAGAGGAGACAAAATCTTATTACTGTAACGCGCAGTCATTTTTCAATTTTTCAATGTGGCATCAAAATCATTTAATGAAACTAGCTTTTTCTTTTATTGCCAAAAGTCGCCTCAATCATGGAAAAAAAAATTAGCACAAACATTCCGTTGTTCTTTTTTTCAATAAAAAAATAATTTTCATACAAACAAATTGTGCTCATTTTACAATTGCGTAGTCTTTTTGCTTCTGTTTTATGCTGTAGCCGGCAAAATAAGCAAAAAATAGAAAAATTTCTAAACCTGGTGCATTTGTGCTCAATTGTGAGAATTTAGTCTCTGACCCAAAACTTTCTTCATAACCCCCACAAACCGGGAATCGATCACTGAACCAAAACTGATCTGATATTAACCAAACTGGCTCAAACTTGAACCCACCCGACAAATAGGCATTGGTGTTAGTACAAAAATAGGGAAACTAAAAAGATAAATTGGTTATTATCGGCTAGGCTCCAGTTGTCCAAAACTGATGTGTTAGTAGGTATAATAATCAAAAAGAAATAATTCACTAATATTTCAATCGTATAAAGAGTTGCCAAATGGTTTAAAACCAGTGGTTTGACCAGATTCTTTATTTTTTGCCGGCTGACTGTGGTGTAATATAAAATCAAGAACGTTTTCAATTTTTCTTGGTTCTTGCCTTTTTGAATTTAGAATGAATGGTCTAACCAAAAAAACTTTGGACTAGATTTAAAACTAAGTCAGTATATTGCACTCAAAACTGTCAATCGATGCCTCAAAAAGCAGAATATTTGTTTTAAGGATCAACACGAATTTATTTTTGTGAAACTCAACACATACTTAATTGGCAAATACCCTATTTTCCTGTACGAGATTTTCAAAAAATTTGCCGAATCAAAGATATAAATATATAAAGTTTTGTAATGAAAATTGTTGAATTGATAACGTGACAGAGGTTCAAAAAGATTTTTGGTAGCAGTCAAACAGATAAAAAAACTTGTTTTAAGAGAAATCGAAATCCGGTCGGTCGTGATTCGGATTCTAAAAAATGTAGTCTCAACTTCAAGAAAAACTGGTCTGAATGCTTCAGACTAAACTACAGGATATTTTGCTGAGAAGCCGACCTCCCATTTTTTAATTCTACTTGAATTTGACGCTGCTTTAATGTCTTCAAAACTTAATTCAACGCTTTTTCTCGCTTTTTTCACCAAATTCAATAACTTTTTCTAGAAAAAAAAATTGGACAATCCTCTTTTTTGATTTGCTTTTCTTTTTTGATTTGCTTTTTCTTATTGCCCAGCAATCGGCTAACCTTGTTTATTTAAGAGGCAGTTGGAACATTCGAGGCTGTATTTTGATACAAGCAGCCTTGTTATCTGTCAGATCTCTAGGTTTGCTCTAATGATTCTAATTTTTGTACATGCAAATTGACTCTGAGTATATGTATCCAAAAGTCGAAAGTCACTTTTTTCAACAGAACAAAATCAAATCGCAACTACAATGACTGACTTCTTGGTAATGGACTCTTTCAAGCACTGCAAAATACGGTTGTAACTAAGGGCATCATGAAGCTGTCGCGCGCATTTTACATCGGCTGCTTGTGCGTATGGGTCATAGTATTGATCTTCGAAATAATTGTTCAAGCCGGCGTCGCAGTCACGTGTAAGTTTGAACACATGCCGCCGCCAAATGGAACGACAGCAAAGGACGAAAAAGACAAGGAAAACATGATCATTATGGATATTCAGACAGCCTGGCACGTCCAGCTAGTCTGGATGAACTTCCCTGAAATCTTCAAGGGCATCAACGGAACTGGATTTCCAGTTGAGCTTCAAGAAAAGTACCAAAATTCGACCAGCGATGTTCGACTTTGGACCGTCAGTTTTTCCCACAATGACACAACGAATACCACTTATATCGAAAAGTACCCGACTGATGCGTTGAAAAGTCTGAGCATCGCAACTAAAATCTTCCTGATTCTCGCAACTTTGATGTGCGTCGCGTGCATTTGCAGCTCGATTGTTTCGGTCGTCAAACAAGAAGAATATGAAAAAATAAACACGCCTTTTTTCGCGGTCCATTGGGTATTGTTGATCATTTGTTGTGCTTTGTACACAGTTTACTGCGTGAACAATTACGAAGATGGTCTCAAAGAGAATACAAGTTACGGCTATGCGCTGTACATTATTTGGGCCGCTTTTTTCTTTTCCATGATTTTTATCATTTTCACAGCTTGTCTTGTTACAGCGTATATGGAAAAGTTTGATGAAGGGTATTTGGATAATAATGAAGATAAGTTGAATCGGAACCCTAAAGATGAAGAGGCGAGCAATGAAGAAGGGGAAGCAGGCGAAGCAGACGAAAACGAAGACGATGAAAACGAAGACGATGAAAATGAAGACGATGAAAATGAAGATGATGAGGAAAAGGAAGACGACGAGGATAATGAAGACGACGAAGGAAATATGCCGAGTGAAAAGATAGGCGAAGATGAAGTGCAAGACCCCAAAGCCATTTTCAATCAGCCTTCGGAGGATTCGAAAAAATCAGATGATGAAGAAAACGAAGAAAGTGAAAATACGGTTGAAACGGGGTCCACAAATAAATCCGAAGAAGAATCTAACGAAGACAATGAGGAAAACGAAGATGAAAATGAAGATGACAATGAAGACGACGATGAAGACGACAAGGAAGATGACGAAGAGGACGACAAGGAAGATGACGACAAGGATGAGGACGATAACGAAGACGAAAACGACGATGAGGACAAAACTGAGCAGCCTAAAGAATCTGAAGCAAACACTGGCACCAAAAAAGGAAGTAAGTCTTCGGGTGGTAAAACAGAAGACAGCAAAAAGTCAAAGAAGGATTCCAAAAAAGACTCTAAGAAGGATTCAAAAAAAGAATCTAAGAAAGAATCCGAGGAAAAAGACGAGGAAGAAGACGAGGAAGAAGACGAAAATGAAGACGAGAATGAAGACGATGAAAAGGAAGACGAGAAAGAAAAATAAGAAGAATCAAAAAAGAAAAAGAGCTCGGGGTCCGCGACAGCAACTAAGAAAACTAAGAAATAATTCTAGAAAACAGGATGGCAACAGCCGAGTAAAAATTATAAAATATAAAACATAACTATTAACCAACACTACGAGGTTTTCAGAAAAATTTCAAAATTCCTGAATCTAACCATAAAAGGCAAATAAATTTTGCTGGGTAGTCAGTGGTGGATCTAGGATATACTCGCGGTGCAGGTGATAGATTTTCAAAATTTTCTCATTAAAAAAAACTTTAGTGTTGGTCGGCTGAAAATGAGTGCGTTTCCCCTCCAGGCAGCGACCTCCTCACTAACCAAAGGGTCCCCCTTTGCTATTGTTTTATGACATCCATTTTATTGTTTCTACGACCAACCCGAATAATTTGTTCACGTCAAAACTTTCCAAATTGTTCCTAAAACTGCCTTTTTGACCTTCTTAAAAAAATATATGCCCGGAGCGCAAAATTTTTAATTCAAAATTGGGCTTTTAAGTATTCTGAGAGGGCTTGGAAAAGCAGTTCGGTCGACCTATGAAAAATCGAAAAAAAAAAATTTGAAAATGCGCCTCAGCCTCAATCCGCCCGTGACGTTAGTTAATTAATAAAAATTTCGGATGGTTTTTTACAAGTGTTCACATACTATTCAGACAAATTTTCGAAATAGATCAACGTAATATTTAGGCAACTCGGAAAAAAATATCCAGATTGTTCAGCGAAAAACTTTTAAAAAATTCGAATAACTTTTAAACTTTGAGAAAACTTTGAGAAAACTTAAGCGGCGAAGACCGATTAACTTGCACAATCTTCCATCAAATTAGAAACGCATCGAGAAATGTTTGCTACTTGTAAAAGTGGGGTGAAAAACAACAAAATTTTACCATGATTGAATTGACATCTGGAACTAGCCATAGATAACCACACACACAAAAAAATAAATACATATAATTATTTTTTGATCATCAAATTTGAGAAGCGGAATAACAATCCATTCCACCATTTTAGTGTAAAAAAAAACAGTTTTGATTTCGAAATTCAGTCAAATGCACAAATTTGAGACTAAATTTCATTTAATTGAAAAAACACAAACAGAAAGTTTGAGTGACAGTTTGTTATGCTATATCATTGTTTTGCCGATAAGTTGACTGGTAAGTTGTGCTGAATTGCGGTAACAAATCTAACTCTTTGTGTGAAACATTGGCCATGACATCTCGTAAACTATCTACTTCGGTAGCAGATCCTCAGGGAGTGCATGCATTAACCGCTTCTCGTCTCATTGATTTGGACAAAAATCCAGGTGTCAGACCAATTGGTATTTGAGAAGTTGAACGCAGAATATTTTCCAAGAGCAGACTTTGTACAATCTTGTCTGAGCTGCTGGTTGAAGCTGGTACGTCCCATCTGGACAACGGGCGTCTTTACGTCGGTTTTTATTGAATGGGAAACTGAAAGAGTGCTGCTAGCTGATGCGAGCAATGCAATTATTGAGCTCAACAGACAGCTTGCTTTGCTGAACATGAATATTGAGCGCCCAAATTTGGCTAAGTTTCTCATCAATTTTTACAAAAAGCCTGCAAAAATGTTTTCAGACAGAGAAAAGCTTTCGCCGCAGGAAGGTACTAATCAGAGCAGACCTGAAGGTTTGCCATTGCATGGTGTAGCTCTGTTACCTCTATTTAAACGACTCCGTGACCCTGTTAAGCAGTTTCTTTATACCGATGATTTTGCTGCAGAGGTGGAAAGTTTGATCAAGTGACGTAATGATGGGAAGCGTTGAAAAACTCTGAACGGAGTATGGGTACTTCTCATATGCATCCAAGACTAAGCTTGTTGGTAAATATGAACACTAGGACTTTGCAGAGCGTGTTTTCTCTGGAATTGGGATGATGATTTTAACAGAGGGACACAACTACTTGGGATGCGCGATTAGTAGAGGAAAGTTCTTTGATTTTCTTGATCTTAAAAAATGAGATGGATGGATAAGTGATCTTGAGAGTTTATCTCACATTGCTGAGACGCAGTCACACTGTGCTTTTGCAGCTTTTACGCATAGTTTCATTCCAAAGTGGAATTACATGATGAGTGTGATCGACTGTAGCCAAGATGAATTTAAGGGAGTCTTACCAAACGCGGGAGCCAAATCAGAACGTAATTTTTGTCGAAACTGCTTGGTATATTATCACCAGGAGACATTGAAAGACCTGTACTGGAGCTTCCGGCAAGATTGGGTGATTTGAAAATCATCAATACAAAAAAGACGCCGCTCAAAAATTCAAAGACTTCGAGAGACTTTTTAAGATTTTTGTTGAGAATTTTGCCAAGCGATTTTGATTTAGACCGAGTTGGAAACAGGCGGAAACGAGTATCTACTAAAATAAAAAAGTAGAACGAGCAGCGAGCGAAAGAAAGAAAGGAGTTGTGTTGCAGTCACTTGTCAATATTACATCCTCAAGAGAATTTAAACTGGCTAACGAAAGAGGTGCGTCAAACTGCCTCAAGTTGTTGTCGTTAGAACAACATGGTTTTTGCGTGAAAAAGGCTGCGTTTCGGGATTCATTGTGCTTGCGATAAAAATTGCCGCTAAAAGATGTTCTTACTCACTGTGTTTGTTGAAAAAACTCTCGGTTGAGCATTCCTTTTCTTACTCCACCGGAGGAGACTTCCCAGCTATTTGGCATAATGAAGTGAGAAAAAAAGTTGCTCTAATGTTGAAGTCGAATCGCGTTTAGAGCGTTTATTTGAAAAAGTTTTTTGCTTTGAGAACATCAATAAGTGGGAACCTTGTTATTTCAGCCAGTGGTTTCTGGAGAGGCAGAATTGGAAAGGCAATCTTTGATGTAAGAGTATTCAATCTTCGCTCGAAATCAAATTCTGGTACTCTGTCTGTCAAGTGTGTACTGGAAGCATGAAAAGTACAAAGAAAAAATGCAATGGGCAACGTATCAGAGAAGTTTTACATAGATCAATCACACCTCTTGAAATTTCGTGCACGAATGGTATGTGGAAATTTGCTACCACGTTCTACAAAAGACTTGCTTCGATGATCAGTGAGAAGGAAAAGAAATTAGCATGGTCAAGTGCTTTCGTGGAATCCACGTTGACTTGGATTGTGCTTCTCAGACCTTCGATCAGTTGTATTCGTGGATCCCGTTCATCAAATTGGAGACCGACGCATGGTTGTGTTCAGCAAAGAATTGAACCATCGATGGACATCTGTTTACTTGCATAGTTGTTTCTTTTATGATACTGATTAGCTGTTGTAGTTTGTTCAAGCATGAGTAGTCTATTTTTCCATGACTGGAAAAGAACCGATTGAATCAACAGAAAATAAAAATATCGAACTAGGCGACCACTTAAAAGAACGATCTGACCATTAAAAAAGTATATTTATCTTCTCTCTCCCTTGTTCCGCACCTGCTCTTCCCCTTCTCTTACTCCTCTTTTGCATCTTCTTTCTCTTTCAGATCCTCCTCCAGCTCTTTGTCAGTCTTCTCTCTCTCTCTCTCTCTTTCCCTTTCTCGCTCTCTATCGCTCTCTTTCTCTATCTTTCTCTATCTTTCTCTCCCTCTCTATCTCTTCTCTCTCTCTCTCTCTCTCTCTCTCTCTCTCTCTCTCTCTCTCTCGCTCTCTCTCTCTCTCTCTCTCTCTCTCGCTCTCTCGCTCGCTCTCTTTTCTCGTTAGCTCCGATTCTTTCTAAATACATAGAACGGTTATTACAAAAACAGATGGTTCTTTTTTTAAGCTAAAATAAATTTATTCCTGAAAATCAATTTTTGTTCCGTACATTTGATGCGCTTTTGAAGTTCGCAGACAAAATACAAAACATTATCGAATAAAAACATAGACTAAAAACATTATCGACAAACTTATACACATCAACAGCAATCGATTCAATTTCACATAAAATACTACTGAGAAAACTAGAAAATTTTGGCTTCCAAAAAATCCCTGAATAAGCTCCAAAGCTTCTTGACACAGAGAATGCAGAAAGTCCAGTAAACGGTTGTTTCTTGTTGTTTCTTGGATGTAATCAAAATCAAGCAAGGAAAACCCCAAGGCACTGTATTGAGACCGCTTCTTTTCATCACTTATGTAAATTATCTGGTTAAACAGCTAGAGAACAACTGCAGAATGTTACAATACGCAGATGAAACGTTGATATATTGCACAAAATAATGCTTAAATTTTGCGAAAATAAACTTAGAATTCGAGCTAATTATACTTCTAATTTCCTTCAAATTCACAAACTAATTTTGAACAAAGAAAAAACTGAGTTAATCATTTTTGCAAAATCTCGAATGAAAGCAAGTCAAGAAATACAAACCAGAGAAGTAGAAAATTCTGGAATCAAAGAAACAAATCATGTTAATCATTTAGGTGTCATCATTGACATATACTCACCATGGAGCAAGAAGTGAACAAAGTTATACGCAAAACGACAACAGCAATAAGAACCCTGGCTCAACTTAAGAGCTCACTTCCAATTACATACAAGATTACACTACTAAAAAGTCTAGTTCTCTGCCATCTTAATTATTCACTGCCACTATTAGTTGGCGTTCGAGAAAAAGCGCAGAGCATTTAAACAGACAAAATAATTTTGCCGTTAGAAACGCTTTTTTCAAGGGACAGTATGAGAATTCAATCTCTCTGAAAACAAACCACAAAAACAATTTCTATACGTCCCAGCTAAAATACTGTACTCAAATATACTTTCACAAACTGATAAATAAAAAACTACCGCGTTTTGATCAAACATACTTTACCAATTACGAATACTGCAAATTCAAAGCACGTACCAAAGAAATTTACTTCAAATTAACCATGACAAGCAAGTGCAAAGACCAACTTTTCCTTGTTAGGGCCTTCAATTTTTCAATTTTTTTGCCTGAAAAACTGAAAGACACAACCTCCTATCCTCTGTTCAATAAACAACTGAACAAACATTATTTAGAACTGTTTGGTAACTCGAAGGTTTTGTCAATTTTCAATATCACTTGTAAAGGTTGTAAGAATAAGACTACAGATAATTAATTAATTTAATTTTGCACCGTAATTGTCGCCATCTTGAGAGCTACTAATTGATTAAAGGTTTAAGTTATTCTTATCAGCTCAATAGTGAGTCGGATAATTTTTTTGATCATTATTGTACACTGGATAGAATGTGTTCTGCTTTATCAACTCAATTTTTGTCTCTCAAAGATAGAAAATCCGAGACTCATAGTTATTGTCAGCAGTCTTCATTAATCCACAGCATCAAAATTACTGCAGCGCAAGTAATATCCAGTGTAAAGATGTCAGGACCAACTTTTTACCAAAATTAACCCAACAACGTCAACAATCTTGTCCACAGTTTCCGATCAAAGCGGGGAGCTCGACGATCAAATGGAAGAAAATATACCATTCGAGCAAGACCGCCAAAAAACACCACCAATTAATTTTTATCAAAAGTTTGGGGAATTGAAGTGTTATCAAAGTGTTCGAGCGATACTTTCAGGTGCTGCTAAAGGAAAGGCCTCATCTCCCATACACTCAACGCCATCAAAAATCCTTCAAAATCATGTTCAAGAAATTCAAGTGACAGTACAGCAGGGCTCTCCTAAGAAGATCTCATTTAATACATTAGAAACGACAGTATCGTTCAGAAAGGCGATGGCTCCCTCTCTCGGTTCTAATAGAAGAATAGATCCACCTCGACGAGTCCATCGCCGAAAGCATGGACGTTATTGGTTGACCGATGACGTAGAATAAGCTCAGTGAGATATTGGTCAGTTCAAAAAGCTGGAAACAACCTAGAAGAAGAGAGAAACAATGACGCTACTACAAACTTCTTTATCTCTGAGGACAGAAAATCAAATCAATTTTCCCGTACTTCATTGGTTATGTCAAATCTATATCTCGCGTATGATTTACAATTTGGTTAACATCACAGTGCCCAAAAAAACTTGGGTCAAACTGTGTATTTATTTAAACCAAACTATTAGAGTAGTATCCATCTTTGTGCTCAAGTTGATGTTAAAAAGCAGTATCAAAGTTAGAACTCTCATATTGCAGTATAAGTTTTAGCTTATTGCCGCTTTTTAGTTCTTTTGTTCTTAACTCATAACAAAGCTGTTACAGTCAGCATGTAAGTCTTAGCCTGCGGAAGGAGTGTCAGGGTGTTAGTTTTTGTCTTAATTTTTTTCTCCTAGTGCTACAGTCAATTTAGAGATCCAGAAGTTTTCATATGAATTTATAAACAAGGAGTATTCTCGAAAGCTTAAACTAGTTTCTTCAATTTATTCTTTTAGTAGAAAAGTTATAGTTCTGGGC